GTCAGGACAGGTGGCTGGGCCGTGGGAAGGCCCCACGAAGCAGGTTGTTCTGAACTGGTCTTTGAAGGACAGGGGGGGCTTCGACAGAAGCGGGTGTAGGGAGGTGGCGATGCTGAGCGGAGAGATGGGCATGCGGGAAGGGTCGGAGACTGGAGCAGGCATCGTGTGTCCAAGGCGCCGTGAGCCGGGGTGTTGGCCGCAGGGCTGGAGGGCACAGTGGGCAGCACCTCACTGCCAGGCTTCTGGAAAAGCCTTGTGAGGACCCTGGGTCTTCTGAGCAGGGAGGGGTCTGCTAACGTCCATCGTTAGATGGAAAGCAATCAGGGCACCGAGTGCCAGGGGCCCCTCCCCCTCAGTGCGTAGGGTTTTCTCTCTGAGCCGGACCTGAGAGCAGTCTGGGTGAAAGGAGAAGGCAGCACCAGGGATTCGGTGTCTCAGGGAGGAGGGAGGGGCAGTGAGCAGGTGTGGGGTGCTGCGTGCAAGGTGTAGAGGAGGGTACTGGGGGTCGCAAGGCCTGACTCCATTTACCCTGCCCAGCTGGTCCTCAAGCCCCACAGTGACCCCCTGGGAAGAGAACAGGTCTCTGGCCAGTTCTCACCCTTTGGTGGTCTAGTCCAGGGGTCCCCAGGGGTTTGGGGGCTGGGCTGAGCTGGGGTTTCCGGTTGCCTGTTGCTCTGGGGCTGCCCTGGCCCCGAGGGAGGAGGGCGTTGTCTCTGAGTCACTGCCTGGGCATCTGGGCCTGGAACCAGTGGGTGAGTCACCTAGGAAGAGGGGGGCCTGGGGGGCGGGGGAGGGGAAGGGAGCAGCCTGCCATCTGGAGAGGGGAGGGGAGCAGGGCGCACAGGAAGGGCGATGCCCAGACTGGGATGCCCATTGACACAGAGGAGTAGGTGAAGGGGGGTCCCGGGCACCAGAAAGCTTGCCCTCCCTGACCAGCCCTCCTCAGGGCTGCTCCTTAATGGGCACCGTTTGTTTGCCTGTGGGGCATTGGGAAGACACATGTGCAGATGGAGTAAGGGGTCACCTCCTCAGGTCTGGTCTCCTGATTTGGGAAGCTGTCAGCTTTAGCTCTGGGTTGGGGGGTCTCTCCCTACTCACAGTGCGCCTGCCCCACTCCCGTCCCCCGTGCCTGGAAGCCTGAGCCCAGGGAAGCTGGAGAGGAGGAGGCTGAAGTTTTGCTGTTTTCCGTAAATTCTGACTTTTCTTAGATGAAGCACAGGCCAAGCCAGTCTCACCCCAACCCAATGCCCCCCGCTCCCCCCAGCCCGCTGAGTTTGTGTGGAGAGCAACCCAGATGCATCTTTCGCTCCCTGCATCGGTACCTCCCGGACCTCTGCTTAAGGACAGGAGAACTTCCCCATGTTCCCCCCGCCCTCCAGCTGCTTCATGACCTCCTGTGCACCTCTTAAAAGTCACTTTGCTTCCCGCACCCCGAAAGCCAGCCCTGCCTCTTCTGACACCCAGGTTTCTAATGGGGCCCCTGCTCTGGCTCTCACACCGTTGCACTGACTAAATGCGCCCATGTGGAAAGCCCAGGCCCCCCGCACAGGTGGAGTGGCAGGGAGGCGGCCTCCGCGGGAGGGTATACGCGCCGCGCGGGCCCGCAGCCACCCACCCACCGCAATGGGTTGCCACTCTCCACCCGGGCTCAGCCCTCCCGCAGGGCACCCCACTGTACCCTGGTGGGCTCAGGGGCTCCCCTCGGCTGGGTTTGAATCCTCCTTTCCCCCTCCCGGAACCTTGGACACTGTGGGCTGCGTTCCTCAAAGTCGGTAGTTCAAAACCACCAGCGCTCCGAGGGAGGGAGATGGGGCTTTCCACTCCAGTCAAGAGTTAACAGTCTCAGAACCCCACAGGGGCCGTCGTACCCTATCCTCTAGCGTTGCCATAAGTCCACACTGGAGTGAGCGTGGTTCCCCCCTCCCCTCCTGGAAGTGGGGTTCTCTGGCACGGAGGGGGTGTGAATGGAGTAGATGTGGCAGGAGGCCAGGCTTGGCGGGATCAGGTCAGAACAGGTTCAATTTCCTCCAAATGCTAAGCTGCGGGCAGTGAGGCTGGTATATAAATCCCCACCCCGGGTGCCTGGCTGGTTTTCTCTCCCTGCAGCCTGCGCAGCCTGGTGAGTACCTCCGTACCCGCCTAGACAGGCACAGGGCACACCCCAGCCTGCTTCGTGGGGGTGGGAGAGAGGGGGAATGGGTGGGGGCAGCCAGGCCTTTGCTGCTGTCCCTTTGTCCTTTAGTCTCCATAGCTTTGTCATCCTGGCCTGAGGCATCTTTGGGGCTTGCCACGTGGAGGGTCCTCGTGGTGGTGGCCCGAGTTGGGCCTTGGGCTGCTAATTGCAAGGTCAGTGGTTCAAACCCTGCAGCTGCTTCTTGGGAGAAAGATGATGGTGCCTGGTCTTATAGGGTACAGAGGAGAAGGACAAAAGGACTGCTTTGTACGGGTCAGGACAGGTGGCTGGGCCGTGGGAAGGCCCCACGAAGCAGGTTGTTCTGAACTGGTCTTTGAAGGACAGGGGGGGCTTCGACAGAAGCGGGT